CAATTGACTTTATACACGTCTAACCACGGACCGACTGTGGCGAGCAAGATACAATGAAATTGTACACACAACATATATTGAAGTCACTTATATATAGTCACTTACTGACGAAAGACTATGACTGATATAATTATACATCTACTAGTTCTCATAGAAAACTGTAACTGAGGTGTTTTAGGGAATAACACAGTGGTTTAATATGTTCCAATATTAATCCAAAAAGTAGCCTATTGTCGCAGTTGAGCTCCGTGACATGCTGAGCTTGAACAAGTTTTATTTAGAAAGCTAGCGGTGTTTGTTTTTTAATTTATAAAGACGCGCATAAAATGTTTTTTTTAAAGATATCGATCGAAATTATGCCAATGTTGCGTTTTGATTCAGAAATGTGTATTGTTATTTAGACATGGCAGATGGCTGAATTTAGTCTATTGTATTGGGTATTGAATCCCAAGCGATGATAACAACACACGCTAAAACGCAAAGGTAGACGCTTGATTCTAAACAGTGACAAGCAGTGAAAGCTGATGAGGGTGTGACCGTGGTTGATTGCAACGATGTTTTTAATAATTTCGTAAGCTGAGAAAGTGTTCTAGTTGAAGTGAAATGTTAAATATATTTGTAACATTATGTATTAGTTTGTCCATGAATGTGTTCAGTTTTGAGGTCGAGACAGGTACAAGGCAGTTTGTTTACAGTTCCTTTTGATGATGAATTGGTACTGCTTCAAGTTGTCGCGTTATGTAAGGTCTTCTCTGAATCAGTTGAGATAGTTTCCTTTAAATGAAGTAGCTGCCGAATCTTTCTGTGATGTTATGTCTGCGATTCTTTTATTTGGTTCGTAGTTGACTCCGAGTAGATATCATCTAAATCGACTTGAATTCCAATATTAGTTATACCAATTGAGTCTTCCCCATTTTCCTTTGGTTTTCTACACCACAGAGATGGAATAAAAAAAAATGTGAAAAAATACAATATTTCAAACAATAAGTTCTTTAGAAAACCAACAAATATTCGAGTAACAGTGTCTAAAGTATTGGATTCCATGTGCAAAAACATGGTAAGAGAACAGCACAACTTTGAACATTGGATAGAATAATTTCGACTATCATGATTTTTTGAAACAATTTAAAATTATTGACAATGAGGTGAGATCTCTGTCAGAAACTAAATACTGTTTAGTGTCCCGAAGTTTGAATTGAAACAAAAAACAGGGAAACTAATAAATCAGACATATCAAGTACATAGTTGTACGCTTCAATCTTTCCACGAGTGTACAGTTTACCGAGCATATCTCCACCATAACACAATTTGAGATGACAATAAAATCAGTTCTTTCGTATTTTGAATTATTGCGCTATGCCCACCTGCTAAACGCCTCGCCATCTGCAAGTGTTTCTGGAAGTTCCCTGTGAAGTGTCTCTGGTAGAAACCACGCCAATAATCCAGCGATTATAGTTAACCCTCCAAATATCAACACAGGCAATGGTAACCAGACATATTCACCGAGTAAAACAACATAAGGCGAAAGAATACCACCAACACGTCCCCACATGGACGCTACTCCCAATCCCGCATTCCTGTAGAAACATTCACAAATACAAAAACTTACGTATGCGAGAAAATATAAAAAGTACAGTTGACACTTTAAAATACCTGTCTCGTCCCTGAAATCGTATTACAGTTATTCGTTATGAAATATGTTAATAATTACCTGACTGGCGTTGGGAAGAGTTCAGTAGCCCATATATAGATGACAAGGTACGAACCAGCAATACAGAATTTACCAAAGAAAGCCAGTGTAGTCACCACCCACTGCAAAGCTATGATGAATACATACGAATGCACGATTAATTGAATCACACCACGAATTTGCTTTCTGTTATTGTTACCTTTAAATCTGTTACAATAAATTTAATGTGAGCTTTTTGTGTGTAATTGCGTGTGTGTGTGTGTGGGGGGGGGTGAATTTTAGGTCAGAGTAAATGTTGTTGAATTGTGAATATATGTTGATGTCATTCAAATGTCAAGCGATTCACAATTCACTGCTGTTGATGGCGCCCCAAAACACCACTGTAATTTATTATTTGAGCTGTTGTGGAACGTTAATATCTCCAGAACAAACTTGGCTACATGTAATCGACAATCGCTTGGCTAAACAACAATTTTCAATCAGTGATAAGGGAGTTGAGATTTGCAGGATGCTGCACATTTGAGTATATGTCGAATATTTTACAAACTAGCGTCGAATTGTTGGACTTCACTTTTATTTTCATGATGTATACTCACAATCATCGTCCACCATTGGACCACACGCTATCAATGCTGTGCCACCAAGTAACATGAATGTACACAGCAGAATACGTCTTCCTATTCTGTCGAGTAGAACATAACAAATGGCGTATGCTGGCAATTCCACGGCACCAGATACCAGGAAACCAATATAAGCATTCTTTGCTAAACCATCCGTATTCGTGGAAATGCCGAGGTACACTAAGATAACAACAAACCTAAATA